CGCGCGGCCACGATCGAACCATCCTTTGCTCTCCGGCCACCGCTTGTAAGGTTGTCCTAGGTACCCGCATCAATGCTCCTTCCCCGATGAAAACCACACGGATTTCTATCTACAACTACTATTACAGTACCACAAATTGAAACTAGTACTCTTTTGTTGTATCATTTCTGAATGATTACATTCAATTCGGTTTTAATCAGATTTAATTAAGCCGTGTGAGTGATTCACCAGTTATACCCATCACTACATGCAACATCGAGATACGTGTGACAAAGAGTTGCTAAACATTTGTTACATGACATTTCAATTTGTTTTGCATTTTACCCGGAAAAGTTCGTCGAAACTCCACTACGTCCCGTGAAGCAAGAGAGAGAGAGAGAGAGAGAGAGAGAGAGGGAGAGAAAGAGAGTAGGAGCGTTGCGAAGTGGTTCGTCGCGGCGTACTTTGAGACACCGCAAAAGTAGCCACGTTTGTAGAGGCACATCAGGATCGGACGCGCGCACTCGACGCTTAAGGGATGCGAATCGATTTTCAGGCCTTGCCTCGAGGAGGAGACCGTCGGCAGAGACCTGCCGTCAAAGCGGGAGAGACCGTTTCGTCGCAATAGAAAAGCGCATAACCGCACGGCACAGAGAGAGGCCTCCGTGGCCTCACAATGCCGGTCACATGTCACCATCCTCTTTGAACTGTGCCGACACGGCCTCTCTTTCTTCTAGACTCTCGCCACTACAAATCCCCACTGTTCACCCCGCGCCCTGTCACGGCCAATGAGCACCTCGTATGCTCGATTTCGGTCTCGATCGGTTATGCTTGCTCAATGCGAGAGACGCTAACCGAGGTTCACAGGTTCCTACCCTCTCCTACCTCTTTCTGAAAGACAGACCCAAACAGATGTTTCGGTGAAAGGCCGATCAATTGCCTAAGTAAATATTTTACTTGGATACTGAGAAATATTTTCCTCCGGGTATAATAAATGTTCCAATTTTTTGACCATTTTTACTCGGCTTTCTTTTCCTATCATTTTATATATAAAGCTAATAAGTAGAAATTGTGACAAAAAAAGGACATTCGCTATGTATTAAAGAATATGATGAAGAATCATTTAGAGGAAATTATTAGATGATTTTTAGTCCTGAAGAATGACTACATCAAAGGTATTCATTATTTATTCTGGATAAATGAATAACCTGTACATGTTTTTAGATCGAAGGTAGAAGGTTCGTGTTTGATCGGGGCGGAAATCCTAATTAAAAATCACGGGTAGCGAGCGTAGTTGATGAAAAAACGTGGAGCTTATAAGGACAGATCGCATTCGGCGCGAGTGGGAATATTCAAAAGATCGGAAGCGGCTTGTAACGTCCAGACATGGCCATGGACGTAGTATGGAAACAGCCACGCGTACGGGCTTCCTCCACGCGGCGTTCTTTTTTCCACAGAGAAAAATCACGTGCTCGTATACGTCGACTGATCATGCAACGTTTTGCCGCATTGAGAAGTCCGACGGCGCTTAATTAGCCGACGGCGAGTCGCACTTTGATCACCGACTAGATGGCAGTATTGTCTTGTTACAAGTCGTCGTTCGAGCCTTACTATAAAGTAGTTTATCGCTGTTACTACTCAATGTGAGTGCAAGACAGATTGGGTGTAGATGAAGACAGTAAGCTTCCCTTTGAGGTATCAAATATTTCCAAAATTTTATGATAAGTTATGATGATTAAAGGTTATGTTAGATTATTTGATATATAACAAAAATGATCTTAGGAGACACTGACCTCAGTGACATAAGTGGATCTTAACACTAGAAAAACTGAAACTTAGTATATACCTATATTGCCAAAAGCAGTGAAAATGACTGCATTGTGAAAGAATAATGTGTAAAGAAATTTGTGTAAAATTAATTTTTAATATTTTTTATATTATTTACAGTCATATAACAAGTTATTAGTAAATGTTAACAATAAAAACAAATTTACTTCACTTGGGAAAAAAAATAATTTATGCATTATTATTTGTACATTTGCCCAAAACCAGTCAAAATGACTTCCTTGGGCAATCTAGTGTTAATAAAAAAAAGTACGAATTAGTCATGATGTAAAAACATAAGGTTTGTTCTTGAGCATCCATTTTAACAACTAATTTCGGGCGCTTCCATTCGTTAGCCATTTTGGATTTCTAACCAATCATGCTTCATATTAAAACAGAGCGAATTTTAAAATCGTGAACATATGAAAAATTAGTTTAGATATATTGGCTATACAGTCAATCCCAAAAGTTTATGTACTCCGAACTCACTTCGCACAAACACATAAAAAATGTAACACGTCCCCCCTCCCTGTTTTCCATACGTCGTTGTTAGTCGGAACTACGTCTTCTATGTGTGCGTGCGAAGTGGGTCCGGAATCCCTTGAGTCGCGATGAGTAATTGTATAGCGTACAGTGTAATAACGAAGAAAGGGGTGGAACGGCTCCTGGGCAGCTAATCCAATTAATAAAGATTACCAGACCGGTTTGTAAAATTGATACGGAGCTCGTTCTAAGAAGCCATTTCGATAAGGAAACGTTCGTGTCCCAGTGATCGGTATTTGTCGGTCCCGGATCCGTAGCCGACAAATTCGTTTATGGAGGCATTTGCATTCGCGTGCACTAAATCGGTGGATCCTGCGGAGAAGAGATCGTTAAGAGGCGCTTATAAATGAAGGAGATTTAAACACCGAGATCGGACGATAGCAGTTGTCCGGCCGCCGCCGCCGCCGCCGCCGCCGCCGCCGCCGTGTCGTGCTGATGCGCTCGGCCTGCCGCTCCAAAACAAAAGCGAGACCGATTACAAAAGGCTTTCGAAGGATATACACGAAAGGTTGCGCGAAACCGGCGGGAGGGAGGAGGTTTATTTAAATTTATTAATCGAGTCCGGAGAGGAACAGGATTCTCATGTGAAAGGGAACGTAATCAAATTTTATTGATTTTCATCCGTGCCAGTAAATTGAAATGATTCTGCAAAACTTGCATGAGGAATTGATTTCCAGTGACTGTCCATTTAAGGCGGTTCCACATAATATAGATTTAATATACGTATAATAGGTAGTCGGAAAAGTATTGACAGATTTTAGTCAGTTTTTGATTAAATGAATTTTATTCAAGTATATATTGGTCATTATTATTTATGACCTTTTGCCATTTTTGGGATAGAGTCATAATCCCATCGGAATAGAACTCACTCAGTGATTGGTCGACCAGAGCGAGGTGCATCTTTAATATCGAAATTTCCAGAACGGAAGCGAGCAAACTATCTACATGCTGTTATGTTTGATAAAGCATCTTCATCGTAAGCACCACAAATTTTTTCCTGGGCTTGTGCAACGTTTTTGCCTTTTTCGTAGTAAAATTGCGAAACATAGCAAATTTTTTCAGAAATTTTACTTATTTTCATACTAATATTACTTTTGGACATGATTGACGAAATACAAAACTGTTTTTATACAAATTGTGGACTGAAATGTCATCTCTGAAACGTGCGTCAGTATGACGCAATCTGATTAGTGTTGCCCGATATATGACACCAAACAACATAATCTCTTAATATTTTTAGTAGCCATTAGAAAGTACGAAATCAGAATTATTATTTAATTACTATTTACGAATCATTATTCGTTGCAGTTGTTAGCAAGTATAAAATGTCGATACCGTCGTTACATTCGAAAGTACAGTCACGGATTTAAATAGGGCGCGAACGCGTAAAACCGCTAATTACCGACACGCGGCGCTGGGAATTAAATAAAAGAATATGACACGAAGTAGAATGGCGACCGGTTCATGCGTATAAGTCTAAATAAGGTATAACTGTAAGTATGAAGTATCTTTATGCATTCGACAGTTACATTGCCTAGGATCCGTCATTTAGTCATCATTTTCTTGTTGGACTATCTTTTGTTTCAATTGTTTTAATAGTTTCTATTGACAAATCCACAACCCCCATGTCCTTTAACCTTAAGATACCATTTTTTAAACTTTATTATTTTGAGAGTTCAATAGTGTGGATATTTAACCGTGCTTGTTATCAGACTTGCTTGAAACAGATAAAAGAAGAAGAATTAGCACGAAAAATCGATGGGATTCGACGGGGAAAGAAGAAATTTTTCGACATTTAGTCGAAATCGCGTCGATTTTCACCGATTTCTCGCTTTATTTCACGAATTTTCGCATAAATCAAAATTGTACGTATGAAACACGCTTGAAACAGATGAAAGAAGAAAAATTAGTATGAAAAATCCATGGGAGTCGCATATCATCGAGAATTATAATTTGCCAGTTATGACCGATAATACTTGAAGGTTTTACTGGCAATGAAAAGTAATGCACTTTTAACATTTACGTCCGGGCGTTACTTTTTATCTGTGCCTCGTTATCGAAAGTGAAATAACGCGCGAGTAAAAGCGAGTAAAAGCGGTGGCTCCGTTGAGAAGAACGTCGGAATCCGAGTGACGGCGGTAAAAAGCAGAGCCCGGCGATCGGCTTAAATCTACCTTAAAAATTCCTGAAGCAAGTTCACCGGAATTACGCCCGGTGGCGAACTTCGGACAGGAGCGAAACAATTATGGCGCCCGTTAGGCCGGATTAGGGATGCGTAATGCCAGCAAAAACGGGCCGGCGTGGCAGCGGTCACGTGGCAGTGATTATCTCTCGATGCTTTGCACACGTTTACCGCTCGTTCTCAACGCGTTGCAACCCCCCACCCCGAATGCCTCCGCGACTTCATAATTAAACCCTTTCTTCCGTCTTCAATCATCGACTTAATCATTTTAATCGTTAGCGATGCTCGACAGCTTCGTCGTCGTCATTGGTCGTTACACGAGATTCTAATTAGAACGTACCCGGTGGTGACGGGGAGGGGGGGGGGGGGGGGGGGGGGGGGGGGGGGGGGGGGGGGGGGGTGTTTAGTACAAAAGACGTTGCGACAGCCTTAATAACTTAAGGACAGTGTTCGACTCGTAATCTCGTTAACAACGATGTAAATAGCATTAGGGGTCTCGTTTCGAGATCACGGGCTACTTACAGCTTGGGGAAAAAAAAAAAGAAGAAGAAAAGGGGCAGTGAACAAGTGTCGTGTAAGCGTTAAGCCGTTAAGCCTTTGAAACCCTGGAACGGAGCGAAGTTTATTTTAATAACGATAAACAGCGGCAGCATCGGTGAACGATAAGCGGTTTGGCTCCCGTGTTGGCTCGTGTAAACGTTACGTGGGTGACCGGCCCCCTTTAGTGCAAACAAGTAGCTCGTGTTGGTTCCCTTTAAGCGGCTCCCCAACAAACTACCTTGTCTTTGCTTCTTCCCTTTGTGCTCGGCCGCCTCTAGGTCGTTCCTGCACAGTAGACACGTTCTCCGCTCCCTAATAAACACAACTGATATATAATATATGCCTAGCGGGCTGGTGTATCCGAAAGCGGATGTCCGAGAGGATGGAAAAAAGAGGTACGGGTGGGGTAGGGAACACGGGCCTGATATACGATGCATCGTGCATTACCATAAAACGATATTTCACTTTTTTATAGTACGCGCCGCCTCCCAACCGGCCACCTCGTGAGGCGTTATTAAAACGACCGGCGAGATGGAAATAATAATCGAGCCGATACGATTCCCAGTAGAAAGAGAGGTTAGGTTGGACGAAGAAACCGAGGCTAATTAGCGGTTGTTTATCGACTGATTCCTAACCTCGTTGGGCAATTTTATTTCCCTCGGACGGACATCCGGGTCAATTTGGTTTTCCAATTATGAAAACTTTCTTTAGAGTTACTCAAGAAAGAAGTATCGGGGTTAAACTCGTGCCTGCGACATTTGTCCTAATTACTCGAAGCTATCTTCGTGTCTGAAATCACGAGATTTTAAAGGAAAACGAAGTTCGTTGAAGGTCGTGCTTGGAAATCGGTGCGCGATATGCAACCGAGGGGCCCGGTTCCCGTGACGCCACTTTCGGCGCGGGGCCATTACTTCTCTTACTTTTTAACGATTCGTCTGGACGCGCGGTGGAAGAAGAGAGCCTCGCGCTCTCTTGGAGGTTCGCCGACGAGAGGAGCACCCCGCTGCGATAGTCTGGAGTCCCCTTAACAAGCGGCGATACTATCGTGAGCCTGGTTCCCCGGGACCCAGCTTTGCATACCGCAGCGCGGTGCCGCCTACGCTCGGATTCCGACGCGGCACGCCGGCGCGCGCCGTACCGTCAATCATGAATGAGCTTACCGGTTCTCCGAGATATTCCCGCTTCCCCTGTTCCGCGTTTCGCGCCAGTTTCCTCTCATCACAATTAAACAGACTCGTTGAATAATCGTAATTACTCAAGCAAGATTTTGTGGATTTATAATTATAGTAATTTTTGTTTTCTGATCATTATTATAGTAAATGCAGAATAAAATTATAAAAATAATAAAAAAACGAAATAGTAAACTTTTCAATTGGAGTTAATTAAATATAATTATTTTAACTTATTTACTATTATAACTTATAAATGCTTGATAAATAATAGCAAGATTTTTCGGTTCTAATTCCCTCCAAATTTTCTCCAAACATTTAGTGTTATTTAGGAATTAGTATAGTCAATCATGGCGAGT